TCTGGAACACCCAACAGAGCTTCCGCATTGATCGTGGAGAACACCGGGTTCTTATGGAGGAATCCCGCCACATGTGTCCGATCGCCTCCTTCCCTGGCGGCTTGTAGGTGCTCCCTCCACGTCCAGGACTGGAGCCCCTTCTCCTTGATCACCTTGATCTGCTGCTGGAGCTCCTGCACCGTTCTTTCAAACGACGCCATTCGCTTCTGCTCCAGCTCCGCAATCAACTCCAGGGCTTGGGTGACCGGTAGAACAGGGCAGTGGCCTCGCAGTCGTACTCGCAATCGTCCGTGCACCGGGTGGATCACGGTGAGCTTGTTGGGTTCCCACGAAACCTTGCATCCAAGTAGTTGGACCAGCTGCCCCATCGGCAATATCGTGCCGTCACCGCTGTTCTCCATCAAGAGAGTGCCTCCGGGATTTTGGGGAATGGCCCGTTCCTCACCTGTCGCAAGTGACACACCTACGCGCCGGGCCGCCTCGAGCTCGGTCGCAGAATGCGGCGCGCGGTAGGCGTGGGACGCACCGCTATCAAGTAGTGCCTCCTCCTCTTCTACATCGCCTCCACCAGCCACCGTAGAAGAACTCAATCTCGTCTCGTACCAGGACAACGCACTCGTAAAAGAAGAAGTGTCATCCCCAGAGCTCCGAACCACCATCACCTTCAACCGGCGCACCTCGTCCAGCTGCTTCTGAATCATCTCAAGCGGGTCCAACGGTGCAGGAGCGGGACTGGCTCCAGAGCCTTGCTGCGTCGCCAACGACTTAAGCATCTTGTTGGTCTCGGTCAGAATTTCCGTGACTCTCGCAGCATCGATTTTGTTGTGAGCGCCTCCAGCGGCAGGCGGAGGCTGGGACGAAGCCGAAGATGTGTCCTGAGCAGGCTCCGCATTGGTCGCCGAAGTTCCGGTGTGAGGGGCCTGCGAAGCGGTCGAAGCCCCCGGTTGAACCTTGGCGATCCGGGGCGGCGGTTGCCCTTTTTCACCGGGACTCGTCGCACCGCCAGCAGTACAATCCTTGGCCCTGTGTTGCTTGGAGCCACAAAGAAGACACCTTTCGCCACGGTTAAGGCCGGTCCACTGGTGCTGGAATGTACAATTCCGTCCATTGCGACAACCATTGTCTGAACTGAACCAGGAGCACAACTTCTTCCCAGGGCCCGCCTTGGGCTTCGCTTTAGCTTCCGGAGCGGGCTGCAAGCCCTTCAGCGATGCTCCTCCTGTGGCTGCGGGAGTAGTAGCCGAGGAAGACGGTACCGTGGTAGTAGGTGTCGTAGGCGTAGTTCCCGTCTGTGACTTCCGAGCTATGGCACCCAGTTGTTCCAGCTCGGCCAACAAGTGCTGTAGGTATCGCATGACGTTGTCCTGTGTGGGACGAGTGTCAATCTGCAGCTCGGTCCTCGCCAGCGCCAGCCGAAACTTAAAGTCCGCATTCTGCTCCGACGTCTTCTTCACGATGACGGAGAGCGACTTCACCTGCAGCGACTCGTCGGGAAGGGTCACACCTAAGTCCGAGGCTCTCTGTAGCAAGCGGTACCAACGCCTTATCGCCGCTGTAGCTTCAGCCGGCCCCGCAGCGGACTCCGTTACATCCAACTGCTTCAGCAGCTGGGCGCGGTCCTGGGCACCTCCAGGCTGGAAGATCACCATGAGCCGGTACAGGATCTGGTGAACGCCCTGAACCCTGTACGCCACGAGGTCGTCCCTCACTCCCTTGGGAAGGGAGGCCAAAACCAACGCCGCGACCTTCCGCTCCAACTTCTTGTACTTCTCCTCCTTCAAGTCCTCAGGGAGGGTCGCAACAACACCCAGTCGACGAACCGGAGATAACGTCTGGTACTCGGCATACGCAGTCTGAGCGGCGCGCAACGTGCGAGCCCACCAGTCTCCAGCGCCCGAGGCCAACGTCCCGATCTGCTGTTCCGCAAGGTACAAGTAGTCCTGGAAGTCGATGGCCCCTGTCTCTGCCGTATACTCAGGCAACTTCACGAGCTCGCTCACCGCCTTAGGTTCCAGGTCCATCACATCGTTCTTCTGCTTCAGCAGAACTTGTTGCAGCTGGCTCATGCCGGTGATCAAAACATCTATCGGCGAAGGGCCCACAGGCTCAGCACCCCCTGTGGCGGCAGCTCCAGCATCCAACGGCGCCGCAGGCTGCGGTGCCTCCTCAGGGACAGCAGGCCCCTCTGTACGTGACTCCAAACCAGGGGGCCGCTCAAAGCCATAATCACCGTAGGTCTTCGAGTCCTTGTAGCCAGGAGGGCGGTATGCCAGAGCCACAGGCGGGACGCCCAAGCCGCCATCCACAAACTCGGAACCACCGCCCGTACTTCGCCTCCGTGACGGCTCCCACTGGAACGGTCGTGCTCCGCTTTCACCAACCCTTGTAGTAGGAGAAGAAGCCCTCTGTGTCGTCCTTCCAAGGGGCGATGACTTCCTATCCACACTCGCTGTTCTGGGGCCTCCACCGAGACCTCGATCATCACTGCGACGCAAGCCTG